GAACTCAACTGGCCCTCTTCCGATGTAGAATCTCTGCAACCTCATCATGCCGTATGTTGATCATTTGGCATAGGCTAATCTATTTATTGACTTCGATCCTTTCGAAGTTTAATATTTGAATGAATGTTCGGCAAAGAAACCGACTGCAGCACCGGCGTCTTGAATTGATCAGATTCCCAGTCCAACGACACCATGTCAGCAGCGAACATTACGTGGCTGAGTTGTTCACCATTGAACATGCCCATCACACACATTTCTAGTTTATCTTTCAGAACACAATTTTTAAACAGGAAGAAAAGTTTCCTGGAGTTGGTATCCCATTGTTTAACGTTCTTCTCTACGAGAATTCTGAGAAGTGACGAAGAGCATGATGTTTCTGAAGCAGCCAAAATTCGCATCCTTCAACAATTTCATGTGGTGAGTGACCTTGCCCTGTGCCACCAATGCAGCTCACTTTGCGGTAGGCTCGACAGTGTCGAAAGCCCATTTGTATTCGACTAAGGACACGCACAGAGGAAATTAAAGTTACCTGCTCCCAAACGTGTTAACTTTCTGTTAAATGTGATCCTAGTGAACAGTAAGCATTTGATAACAGGTAGGTTGAGCGCACATTTCACAGCAGAAGGAGAACCCCGATGAGAAGAAAATCTTAAGGCATGTTCCCAAATACCACTAAACAGTTACCTCAAGGGATATCCTTAACATTTACGCATAAATCAATGAGCTGTTCTGCAGTCTCCACCGAACCGTGACACAACTAACCCATCACTAGTGACTGCTGGTCGACATCGTGGAACACAAAAACAGTTTTTAATGAACAAATAATCTATGGCTCCACACTCCCTCAACCTGTCTTCGATCTGCAACAGAATATGCTCACATATGCACCAAAAGAACAAAGCATGAAACATGAAGCCGATAGCCATATGCACAAATGTAAATTTCCAAACTCGTATCAGAGCAAGTGTAAAACGGATAATCTTAACATGGAATGTTTACTCCACAAACCGAATAATGATAGAGCAAAAATACACAAAACGTTGGAAGATCTCCTCCAGTGACATTCTGAGATTTCAGAGAAAGGGTTTTCGCGATACCATAGTAGCAAATGGCATTCAGGACTGATTAAAGTTTCTGGCGATGATTGGTAACCCCCTATAATAAAATTTGACAAATACAACAGAAAATGAGAATATTTTCAACCGCACTCTTTTTAATGTAATTTTTAACTAACGTAAATGTCTCGTAATATGCTCATTATTCAATCTTATGAAGAACTGGTGTTTCAACAAATTATTCGTTCACAATAAGCGTACTTCATTAGCTTCAGTGACGTTTCATTAAATCTATTATACAAATCAATCGCATCTCGCCTAAACGCGTTTTCACAATAGCGAAAATCGTCAGTGAAAGCGCGGTAAACAATAAAATTCATAGTAGGAATCTTTCGTTTCATAATTTGGCCAATAACAATTGGAATTTCCTGTGTTACACGAAGTAAACAGCCTCTAATTTAGTTTAGGGCCGCTGTTGACGCAAACAATCCATCAATTAGTTAAGACTAGATATTTGTATTATTCAGATACAGCAAAGCAACATTTCCATAACAAATGATTACACTCTGGACAACTGAAGTCATTATTGCTACCACTGGCGGTCCGTTACCAGGATGAGACAGGAATAGGGTTGGGGACTGTGGCGAATTATCCCATAAAATCCAGCCACCTGTCTTTGATGGTGCTGAATTTATCCTGTGTGCAAACGTCTTGCGCATTCAACTGCAGCACGTTTCAATCTTTGAAATTTTGATGTTCTGCTCTTTGTTCCTTCTCTGACAAATTGTTGAAGTAGAACCACTTGGAGTACCATACGTAGCAGGAAATGTGGATGGCTAAACGTGGAAATTAGACACTCTAAAAACGCACATTATGCAGTGATAATTTTCAACAGTTGCAAGACCGTTCTTTGGAAGTTCCATGATCTTAGGCACCTTTTGTTATGGCACTTTACAGAAACGTTCAGGTTATTTGTTTAAAACAAGTTTGGCTGTATCACAGCGACGAAAACAACATTTTCGATTTGGAAGACTTCGCTTGTAATGGCTTTCATCGTTACGGGAGTCCGTGGTCAGTTTGGGATCCACTTTCACAGTGTTCGTTTAGCTGCTTTGTATGCCTAGATTTTGTCACTTGAGATTCCTTAGGGTGCACTTAAGTAAACTTGGATATCATTGATTCAGTGATAACTGTTGACAACAAATTGCATCAAGCTGAATCCGACAATGAACTATTTGTCACTAAGAAAAATTATTTTTAAATCTTAGCAATGTTTGATCGTATTCTAAAGCTGCAAGTTGATTTGTTCTCGGCTGTTAATTTTCTAGCTGCATGAGATTTTCATCGTCATCGCTTTTAGTTTTTCCTCATGGATAACTGACAACTTCACCGTTGCCCTTCGCAACTCATTCATGTCATTCAAGCTGGTACAGCAAAGTTCTTGAATTTTTTAGCAGGTCTTCCTACCAACCGTTTTGTGCAGCTTAAATCCATTCTATAATGTCAATACCTCTCCTATCCAGTAATGACTGGTTGATCTTGTAACCTATTCACTGATATAATAATCTAAACTTCGATCTTCCTGCGAATGCTTACGGTCTATACGTTACTTCCATATATTAGTATCGGTAGCACGCACTGATATGAGACATTCCCCTTTCAGTGTAACGGACTTTTGAAAAAGACTACCTTAAGTTGATTTTGTGTAGTTGGTTCTTGGTTGTCTGGTTCAGTACAGGCGTCGATTTGCACATCTCAAACGTTGAGTGTCGTTACCTGCTTGAATGAGCTCCGGGAAATATTGACTCGGAATCTTTTGTTTACGCGCGGTTATTTTCCTTTACCCTAACCGAATCTTGAATTCTCCTTCGGGGACTAGCAAACAATGATCAATATGTTGCTCATAATAACAATGAGAGTTAAAATGGAGTGCATGGCACTCAGGTACGACGGTAACCACGAAGACATGTCATAATCCGCGCAACGGTTGCATGACGAGATTCTGAGAACCAGAGACAACAGAACTGCATATGCACCTTGAGGCTATTCTCTCCAGGACGGATTAGGCATCACTGTCTCCGTATAATTCCCCAGTTAGAGCATGATGCATTATCCATCCTTTCAATAGGTAATGAAAATTTCTTAATCACCTTTCATTATTTAATAAGGAAGGAAAGAAAATTTTTAATCGTCAGAATGTCGATCTTGTTTACACTTTCACGTTGGGTCATTCTGGCGCTCCTCTTTTCATATTGTTGATAATGTGGTGCTGATCTCTATTCCTCTGCCATCAGCCAAGAGTGCCTCATTTTAAAGACAAAGTTTACAATCAAATGGCAAATGTATATTCTCCTGTTTCCTTCCACAGAGTAGTACTCATTAAGGAGTCTCGAAAGGAAGAAGAACGAGGAGCGAGTATCTATCGGTTCTGAATTCGACGCTCTACCAATTGACCGACCTGAGTCTGAAGCATTTGCCATGCCCGGTAAATTCCTTGCTGAAGGGAATTCATGAATGAGACAAAGATCGTTTTTGAATGGAATCGAGCGCGGCACCTCAGGAGTTCGAAACAGATCACTTAAGCACTGTGTCGCCACATCGAGAAATAAACCATAATCTTGTCATTGTTTAATAAATCTTGAGCCACAGAATCGCCTTAGCTATATCGTTTCGCTGACAGTTCTATTGATCCAAAAAGAACAATGGCTTTTAAAATTCAATTAATGAATTTATGTGTTTTCTGGAATGAAGGAAAAAAGAAGGAATAAATCAGCAAATGAACGAGTGAGTAAATGAACGAACGGGTGAACAAACGAAATAATGAATGATTGAGTGAACGAATGAAAAGAATCTAAATAAACTAGTTCACATTTTTTATAAGGCAACCTTATGTGTTTCACGGTTCCTACTCTTCAAATACTTTTACCTGGATAATCAGTCAAGAATGACTCGAAACGTCGATAATGGGCCAAATGAGATGCAGATTTTCAGTTGATCCGTGCCATTTGCAGATGAGCAAACAGGAAAGGTTGAAATAGTTGGGATCCCGGTTTCCCTCATACTTTCATTATTGCGGCGCCCTTAGGTTTTTGAAACTCATGACGTGGCGCTAATCATCGTTTAAATTCCATCAGCCAAGAGTGCCATATCTTTATTAAGGCAGAATCTACAGCTGCGTGGCAACCGTTTCCTGTTTCCTTCCCATCGAATGGCACTCAAATCTAGTCCGGAAGGAAGAAAGGCGTATGACCCGACCTGGGCTCAAACTCGAAACTCATCGATTCAGAGTCCCACACTCAACATTGAAAAAGATACAGCTAGTGATACATGAAAACTTATTTCCAGAAAACTAGAAATTATCTTCGCCGAACTTTGACGAAAACATTAGCGAAGCGAAGTGAGCGCGGCAGAAAGCCAACGACTGCCTATCTGAGCAGTGATGTGACGTGTGGTCGGTGTTGTTTGCACAAAAAATCCTGTTGAAGATTCCCACGGGAGTACTGTCGTTGACGAACGGCCTTTAGGACCTTTGCTGGCTTCATCGTTTTGGCGACAAATGGCCCATCACGGGCCGGTGAGCGTTGCTCGACGGTCGTCGAGTTCTTACGTCTCACGCATCAGGTGTCCACGAATGGGGTGACCAGCGAGAATTGATCAGATTACGGTGACTGCCAGTGGGGCATACCATTCGGCAACGGCTGGTCCAACCAAAATCCGCCGGAGCCATCCACCACTGACACGGTGACGCAGTAGGCGCTTCTGATCTGCTGCCATTGATCACCGTAGTCGTCGACCAGTTCTTCGGTACCCAATAACTAGCGACGACTTATGATCAAAACGATGCGTTGAATATGTGACAAAGCGAGCCGCGTCTGACAACTCGACTTAATGATCAAAAATGCAAGCTAATAAAAGCCGGCCTGCTGCTAGCTGCTCACTGCAAACATGGTCATCGTCGCAAGCGTTGTCTTCGCTGCCGCCACCCTGTCTTCGCTGTTGGCGCTGGCGTTCGTACCCTCCTCTTCCGCCGCCTTCGCCATCAGCCCCTTCGTGACCACGGGCAAGAACCCGGAGCCCCGCTACGACCAGCAGCTCATCGCCATGCTCGGTGCTGAGCGTCCCCACGGTTCGTTTCGTCAAGCAGAGAGACCGGCGTTGCCGACACTGTTCGTCAGCAGCCCTCAGGCGTTGTCCATGAAACACTGGCCCCAACTTAAATCATACCTGTGGGCATTGAGGAACGCTAACCAGATTGTGAAAAGAAGACGTGAGTCTCTGTAGTTTAGCTATGTATAACTGTATATAACTATATATTTATTTCTCGTGCGCTTCGTCAATCATTCTAGATCTGTCCAGCGGTTGCCCGTCCTTTGCCGAGTGCATAAGGGGCAGCTTTACCGTAAATTTTATGTTTCTACTTCATAATAACAACGTTTCCCTCTCAACAGTAGTTTCCACTGCTAGCACTCGTTGAGGAATTGTTATTGAAGACTAGTCGTTGACCTACTCTACGGTTAATAACCAAATGACGGTGCTTTATTGCAATTATTTTGTCTGGAATTATAAAACAGGGACTCGATCTAGCGGCCTTATGCGTGAGTTCACAGAGATCGAATATTTGCGACACGTCATAAAGGATGAGGCGAAAATTATTATAGGTTTTCGACAAAAGTATAACCGTAAACATTTTTCTCACAGAACTCTTTGTCTCTGCCTCAGTAATTAATTACAACCTTTATTTTCTAGCTGCATTCTGTGCTATTGTATGCAACGGAGAAATTGTTCCTGTATCACCTAATACTTCACATTACGTGCTACAAATTTACTACAGCGCAATACCACACAATAATTTTATCTTATGTATTATAACAAACATGTAACCCTTTCGAGATCAGACTGCACCACCTCATTGATGGTTTTGAAATCTAGTTTTGGAGGAGTCATTCGTTATCGAATGTACTCAAACAACTTATGATGTTCATGCAGTAGCATACGGAAAGCACCAGCACCTGAAACACTATTTTGATGAACGTGAAGTGCTTTTAACAGTCC